GACTTATTTGACCGGACCAACCAGTTTTCTGCAGTATGTGTTGTGTTATTATTTTAAAACACTGATAGTAATAAGAATAAGAATTCGTTAGTTCTCTGTATCACATAATATTAGGGTCACCGTTATGTTTGTGTCACTATCACACCATACAGTGAATATATAAAAAACAATGATATGACGGAACTTCAAGCAGTCTAAAACTATTCCGTAAATGGAATGTATGGCACCAACAAATGTTAGTTTTATATATTATGCAAAAGAAAAGAAATCAGCATGAATTTTTGATATATATATATATATATAGAATATGGACATTGACATAAAGATTCATTGTCCTTGATATAACTATGGAACAAAAGTTATCCTCGTAGCGTTGGAATATAAATAACACTAATTCCTCCTGTGATACACTGGATAAAAAACCTAAGGCTAAGTGATATCTGTTCGTTTGAAAGTGATAAATATGTGATATGCATTTCATCCCATATGAGAACTATCAAACTCATCGCAATCCTCATCCTCTGAAATGCCTAACAATTAGTGATTATGATACTAAACAAAACTCAATAGCCACTTTTATTCCTCTCTGTGAATTCTTGATGTAGATTTCATTGGGTCAAGAAAGACTAAGTAATTCACTTTATGCTAATAGGAGGAAACCACAATATTCAATAAAGGTGGAACGTTCCATGTTCTCACCTTTGAAAACTTATTCTTAAACTTGTTTAATTTACGTAAAAGCGCAGTTCGCAAATGGATGATAAGTGGTTGATTGATAATGAACTTTAAAAGAAAACTTGGTCACAGAAGAACTCAAAACAGAGGAGTTTCCGTTACTAACCTGAATTTTAGTGAACTAAAAGCGTATTATGGAATTGGTATTAATTTTATTGTGTCATCGGGGGTTTCACCTGACTGTGATACGTAACTGTCTTTTCAAAACGATTAGCTTAGCTGTCCAATCCAGCAGTAGTTAAACATTGTTTAAACAATTTTGTTAAAAAAATAACTTCCACTACACTGAGTGGTTTCGATACTTCAAATAGTGTTGACTGTGTTTTGGTCCAAAATCAATAAGTTTTCACAACAATATATGATTTGGCATAGGCTAAATACCCCACCCCCAGTTTGGATAAGTGTCACTTGGACACAAATAAATACAAATCATTCCCGATGCAACAGGCCGCATATAGAAGCATAAAATCATGAAAATGCAATTTTATATGTTTCACTTTGAAGCCTGAAGCCAAGATATTACTGTGAAACAGGACTTACTGTCACTGACTAGCAAGAAGTCTGAAGCCGTCCAAATAAATACCTCATAAAAATCTTATCAATCCATAATTTAATATAACCTCGCCTAGATTACTAGGTCACTAGTATTCTAGCCGGTCCCAAGCCCGGATAAAGAGGGAGGGTTGGGGCGTGGTGCTAGCAACTCCACCCCCAAAACTTAACCAAATTGCTACTAAAACTTCAACGCACAAATATATTCAAAATTCTAAAATTACAAACAATGACCTTATCTTTCGCTGGAATCGGGGAAGTGAAATGACGCAGGCTGGTGAAAGCCTTCGGGAAGCCAGTCAGCCGATGTACCTTCTTTCGATGAAAGCAAAAATAAGGATGGGGACGTGGAATGTTCGTACAATGTACGAAGCTGGGAAGGCTGCTCAGGTAGCCGCAGAAATGAGGAGATATAAAATAGAAGTGTTGGGAATCTGCGAGAGCAGATGGAACGGATGTGGAAGGAGCCAACTATCAACTGGAGAGACAATAATCTACTCCGGTCACCCAGAGGACGAGCACGAGCACACCGAGGGAGTAGCCATCATGATGTCACCAACAGCGGCTAAAGCTCTCATGCAGTGGGAACCAATCTCCTCCAGGATAATGACAGCCAGGTTCAACTCAAAAGGAAAAAAGGTTACAATCATTCAATGCTACCCACCTACAAACGTCTCAGAACATGAGAAGAAGGAGGATTTCTACAGTCAACTACAAACAGTAATGGGCAACATCCCAAAGAGCCATATCAAAATCCTGATGGGAGACATGAATGCGAAACTGGGAGGAGACAATACAGGAAGAGAACTCACCATGGGTCGTGAGGCCCTCGGTGAAATGAACGAAAATGGCGAACTCTTCTCAGACTTCTGCGCCTTCAATGATTTGGTGGTTGGTGGCAGTGTGTTCAAACACAGGGATATACACAAGGCAACATGGATTTCACCAGATCGACACACCAAAAACCAGATAGACTTCATTTCAATCTCAAGGAAGTGGAGACGGAGCCTACTGGACACAAGATCGAGGAGAGGAGCAGATGTGGGTTCAGACCACTATCTAGTACAAGGGACATTCAAGGTGAAGCTAAAAGCCTCGAGGATACCTGGAAATAGGCCACAATGCAAGTTCAACACTCAAATCTGAAGGACACAATCACAAAGGACATTTTCACTGCAATTGTCAGAGCAAAGCAAGAAACACTACCTGGCACCACTGAGGAATCATCCGTGGAAGACCATTGGAACTCTCTGAAGGTGATTTTCAACGAAACGTGTTCAACGGTTTTAGGAAGAAAGAAGAAACAAGACAAGGAATGGCTCTCAACAGACACTTGGAAGCTAATAGAGGAGAGGAGAATGGTGAAAGAAAAAATGATTCAATGCAAAGATGGACAAGAGAAAGAGACGCTGAACTCAACTTACACAGCACTGGACAAAGAAGTGAAGAAGAGTGCCAGGAAGGACAAAAGACAATTCTACGACAACCTGGCTACTGAAGCTGAGAAGGCAGCAGGCAAAAGGGACCTGAGGACACTATATCAGATAACCAAGTCTCTATCCGGGAAGAGATCAACACAAGTGAAACCTATAAAAGACAGCCAAGGGAACCCAATTACCAAAGAAGAAAGACAGATTAAACAATGGGCGGACCACTTCAAAGGACTCTTGAACCGACCACCACCTACAACCCGTCCAGAAATACCAACAACAGCACACACACACAACTGCAAGTTGACACCAATCATCCAACGAAAGCTGAAGTCTTGAATGCAATCAAGCTTCTGAAAGCTGGAAAAGCAGCTGGACCAGATGGAATACCCCCGGAAGCACTGAAAGCGGACCCGGAGACGACAGCAGATATGCTGACTCCATTATTGCAAAAGATCTGGAAAGAAGGAAAGGTGCCTACTGACTGGAGGGAAGGTTACCTGGTGAAACTACCAAAGAAGGGCGACCTGGGACTCTGCAAGAACTGGCGAGGAATCATCCTCCTGTCGACGCCAAGTAAAATCCTGAGTCGCATAATCCTGGAGAGAATCAAGGACGCACTGGAAGTAGAACTCCGACCAGAACAAGCTGGATTCAGGAAAGGCAAATCATGTTCTGACCAAATTGCAACTCTACTCATTATCATCGAACAAAGCATGGAATGGCAATCAAATCTCTACCTCAACTTCATAGACTTTGAGAAGGCCTTCGACAGCGTTGACCGCGAAGTAATTTGGAAACTACTCGAGTACTACGGCGTACCCCAAATATTCATCAACCTTATTCAACAACTGTACGACAACGGCACATGTCAAGTGATCCACAACGGAAAACTCAGCGAAGCGTTTGGAGTAAACACAGGAGTCAGACAAGGGTGCTTATTATCACCAATGATATCCCTAATTGTGGTGGACTGGATTATGCGTCAGACAGTGGGAAACGAGGAGACAGGGATATCTTGGACCGACGTGAAGAACCTAGAAGACCTAGATTTCGCGCGTGGATGATTTATGTTTGATGTCACACAAAATCGAAGACTTACAAGCGAAAACCGACAAACTGGTCAAAGAAGCAGCAAAGACAGGACTCCAGGTAAACATAGACAAGACGGAGGTTATGAAAATAACCAACCAACAACAACAGCAGCAGCAACATCCAGCGCCAATCACCATCAACGGAAGGGATTTGAAAGAGGTTACTTCTTTCACTTATCTAGGGAGCATTGTCTCAACTACAGGAGGAACGGAGGGGGATGTCAAATCGAGAATCGGGAAGGCGAGAAACACATTCATCAACTTAAAACCAATCTGGAAATCTTCGTCACTCAGCATCAACAACAAAATTCGGATTTTCAATACAAACGTGAAGTCAGTTTTGCTTTACGGATCAGAAACTTGGCGGGTCACAAAGAACATTTCCAACAGGTTGCAGACCTTTATCAACAACTGTCTTCGTTCTATACTGAAGATTAGATGGCGGGAAAGAATCACAAACAAGAAGCTATGGGAACAAACGAAACAGGAACCAATCGCCCAACAAATATGCAGGAGAAAGTGGAGATGGATTGGACACTCGCTGAGGAGGCCGTTGGGTGACATTGCGCGTCAGGCCCTCGAGTGGAACCCGAAAGGGAAGCGGCGAGTGGGACGTCCAAGGGTGACATGGAGGAGATCGTGTGAAGAGGAACTGAAACAGTATGGACTAACATGGATGCAGATGAAAAGTACAGCACAAGACAGAAGCAAGTGGAGGCGTGCAGTTGAAGCCCTATGTTCCACTAGGAACCCAAGGGAACAATAATAATAACAATACCATATCATCATTCTGGTGGTGAATCCACCCCTCTCCCAATCAATATATTCAACATTTAAACAAAAAATATATTATCATTCGCAGCAGTTGTCTGATCAGTTTTCCTTTTCAGTAAAAAGCAATTAATCCTTAAATGCCTAAGATTATGAATCGAGAAAAAAATTTATCCGAACAAATGCTTATTAGGTGAAAACTTTAGTTATATAATGTAATCATTTAAAAATGGGAAGTGATCATAAGTAAGTTTCTGCAAATAAACCGAGAGCACCACGGTCAAATGCTAACGAAATTAGTGCAAAATTACTAGTTAATGGGCCATAACAGTCTAAAAAACTAAACGGGCTGACGGAAAATATATCACTCACAATAATAAGGAACAACAGATGAAAGAAAAAACATCTCTTGACTAACCTGCAACAAAACCTCCTAAATGAGCCGAAAATCCAACGCGCGTTTGCTGATCCGGATTTGTAAATCGGGCATAAATAGCTAATCCTGTATCACCACCACCTTGTATATGGGTACAAAGCAATAAGAAAATTGTATGTCATAAAACAAAATGCATGCAAAATTCAGTCAGCAGAACACATACTTTAAAAGAAACATAACCTTTATTAAAACCTCAGCGATAACTACTTCTATTCATCCGCTTGCTAAACGTCAGTCCTAGTCTTGTGAAACAAAAGGTATTTGCAATAAAGTCGAAACTTATTATATGGCCCTTAATACATTTAACCCTACTCCAAAAATATGGTGGAGATATGTGGATGACACTTTTACAGTGTTAAAAACAGAACATATCTCTAGTTTCTTCACACATATAAACTCACTAGTAGAAGGAATAAAATTCACATTTGAATCAGAAAATGAACAAGGAGAATTAGCTATGTTAGATTGTAAAATAAAGCGAATAGAAGAAGGCAAACTACACACTAGCGTTTATAAAAAACCAACGCATTCTAATAGATATTTAAACTTTAATTCATCTCATCCGTTAACTGTTAAGGCAGGCTTAGTTAAGTGTTTAACAAACCGAGCAGTAGCTCTAAGTAGCACAAGAAAAGACCTAAATGATGAAATAAAACAGATAGAAGAGGCGTTGGTGTTAAATAACTATCCCATAAAATTCATTAGGAAGATCGAAAAAAGCCAAAAGCAAAATAAAAATAATTATGAAACTAGTAATGATAACACAAATAAGAGAGAATATAAGTCATCTACTGTTATACCATATAAGGAGGGGACATCTGAGACCCTACGTAGGATTCTAAATAAAGCAGGAATTAGGGTGGCATTCAAACCTACAAACTCACTCAGAGACAAGCTCTGTAGGCTAAAAGACCCGGTGGACCCAATTAAACAAAATAATATAATTTACAAAATACCTTGTAATGACTGTGAGGTCAACTATATAGGTCAAACTAGTAGATTGGGGGTAATCAGATTGTCGGAACATAAGAATTTAGCCAAGGTAAGAATGGTTGACCCCGAGAAGATAAGTAATTTAGAAAAAAGCTCAGCAATTGCATCACATGCAATAACACACAACCACACAATAGGGTGGGAGAGGGTTAAGATTCTAAGAAGTAATCTATGTAGGTGGAGAGAAAGATTGATTACTGAATCCTGGTTCATTGAATCTACACCCAACACATGCAACAGAAATGACTCAATGCAAATACCAGAAATATGGAAGATATTATTACCACCAGTCAAATCAGAAGAGGATAATAAATAATCTCAAAATTCTATTTCAATTCAAGCAAATCACAACATTCTAACAAATTACTTATTATAACTGTAAGAACATTCGTCTTATTTCCCATCTAATTGTATTTGATCAATAACACTAATATTGATTTTTATCCAAATATCTAGTCAATTCCATACATATATAAAAAGAAGGAAAAAGTTGTGTGAGTAACTTGATGTGATTATGAGCAATAATTTGTGCTCGAAACGTCATCAGTTAATATTACTGTGTAACATTGTGTGATTTATGAAAATAGAATCTTATCCATAATGGACTTATTATAATCATCGAATGTTATCGATAGTATCTGATAATGTATGCACAAAGTATGCTTCATGTAGAATGCAAACAGATCGTCGAAAACCATAACTACGTACTATGGATAAACAGCACACTGCTAAAATAAAACAACTAAGTAGGACGTAAATGAAAATTCCAACACAAACATCTGCAAAGAAAAATCTCTCTCATTGCATATATATATATATATATATGTATATAGTCTTTGTGCAGAAAGTAAAAGAAATAGACCGTATCATCTGAATATTTCGGGGGCAACACAGACACGTTAGTAGTCATAATACATTTACGGTCGTGATAACCTGGATATCATGTAACAGGTAACAGTGGTCATTATTTTGATGGCCGGAAATAATAATATAAATATTCCATAAAAAATATGCATAAGTTTTTCGGAAAGACAAGCAAACACTACTCTGAAATGTTAATTTTAATTTGAACAGACATGCATACTGTTAAACTGAGAGATTTAATGAGTATTATATTCAAAAGGATATTACACAAAGGATGGAAACCACTATTTTACCAATGATACTGTATGTCCTTTTGATAACTTGTAGCTAATTAGTTTCTGTTCCTGTGTGCTCTTTCCCAATTTCATAATTTAAAGCCTATAAAACCTAATTCGACCTTAACAACGAGACAATTATCCAAGCCCCTCTGTAAATGACGTAAATTAGCGACTAAAACGGAGGTAAAAACATGGATTGCCACTGTATTCTGGCTACAAAAGCACTAATAATTCATAAAAAATCAGTGTGGAAATACAGTCAATGAATTTCGACATCAAAGTTTTCGATTTATACAATATATGTTTCACCAAGTAGCATATGCATGATGATTACTCAATTAAATTACAACTGTTTGAACAGCTGATCTAGTAATAGCAATAGTAGTAGTATGAATAAAACGCCAAATATATTTATGTGAGGTAAATAAATATCACCTGATTGAAATGAAACACACTTAAAAAACCAGTAACCTCTGAATTGTGCCAGTATAATCGAATAATAATTGACAATTATTTAGGGTTAATTACTTCATCGCTGCTTCCTGAACAAAATGGTACATCCAAAAGACTGTTTTATCAAATACATATGGTTTTTCAGTCACATTTCATAAATGTAATTAATTACAATTTAAAACTACAGTAATTTTATCATTTGGTTGTTTATAAACGAGACAAACTTCATACAACAGAAGTTATACACAAGTCCAAACGAGAAATAACAGTCAACTTATATTTCGCAACCTCATGAGAGCTTTTTGGTTAGTGAATGTCAGGAAATTGAAGTGTAACGCAGCAACTTGGTACATGTTGACGTAGCTGACAAGAAATTATAATTAGTAATCAAAAGATTGTTTCAGACATGGTTTGAACCTATTACCTACTCGTTTAAAGTTGAGTTTCTAGACCAATAATCTGCACCTCATTATATCTTAAGCAAATGGACTTATCATGCCTACTTTATGCAAAACTACCAGTTATGTATTTTTAAGTTTTGTTTCAGGATGATAATTTAACCCTAACTGATCCGTCATTACAAATATGACTGTTTAGTAGGTCAGTGATATAAAATGTGTTGTACTGATTTATTCCATAAACTCTGGATATCAAACGGAATGAACACTTAGACACTGATGAATTACATACATAGTCAGTTATAATTAGATACATAAATTATAGAATAAATTAAGTAATCGGCAGCCATTTACTTTTCATAGGAGCATACACATAAATAACCTGTCATTGTGAATTACTTTAAGAAGGCATGTTATGAAAAAGATTAGATATTTAATCACGTGTTTGAAAAGCAAAAAAATACTACAAGCGAAGGAGAAATAAAATTAAAATTATATAATTCGAATACGTGAATAAACTAGTTTGTTGGCCTACTGCAACCAGGGCCACAGAGTACATGGACGCTGTGGGTTTAAAAAGCATGATTATTTATTTAATTATGACTCACCTAATAGTATGATTAGAATAAGTCTCACGACACCACTAGATACAAAGTTTAAAGGATCCTTAAGCCACCCTTCTTGCATTAAATTCCAGTTCTGTAACACAAAAAACGCAGGAAATAATACAATTATACATAGAGATTGTAATTCAAATCACAGAGGTATAACACTGAAACTTTTAGGTAGCATAGGAAGACTGAAAATAAAGCATCTCCATTTACCTCTGATATGTAATGGTAGCACTTTACCTAAATAATGTGGTGGCTTTACTTAACAGCATATTCTCCTACTTTACTCCCCTTGAGGAGGGGATCAATTACTAATAAGCAAATAAAAATGAAGTCACATCTTGCATCCAAATTAGCGTACAAACGTCAGATAAAGCATATAAAGTACTGAAATGAAACATTAAGAATGATAATAAGAGTACAAAATGTTTGAATGCAGGCTGATATTAGGTGCTTTATATCACATATTGGCAGAAGTTGGAATTCATTGATCACCGGATTCTGTTCCAGTGGCTGAATGGTCACCGGTCTAGCCACGTAGTCTGAAGGTCCTGGATTCAGTACCCTCAGGGAAGTCATGGGTGAGTCCCGCTGGAAAGTCCCAAATTAGGACGAAATAGCTGTCCAGTACTCCGTAGTGGTTTTCAGCGGAACTCTAACTGGTGTCAGTTCATGATCTAATTTGGAATTAATCAAATCTCTGCAAAATAACACTTGAAAATATATCTAATAACCAGAAGCAAAAATTCGCGAGTAAATTAGTAACTTCTGTACAGTACGTTTAACTTGTCCACCTATTAAAAAAAGCTGATAAAAAATAACACCGGAATGATCAGTTCAACCAGGAATATACATACTGTAAATAATAGAAGTTAAAACATAAATGGTGGAAAACATAAACTATCCCATGGTTCGCATAATAACTGAGTTCTTTCTAGCAAGTGTAGTAATGAAAGCTATTATTATCCAGATTCTAAATTTTAACTCAACACTCAGTTTATTTATATAAGATATAACAGCAACTATAAAATATTAAACTAAGATGCTAAATTGTTAAACATAGAGAATTGAAAATAACACACTGAATAGTGTGAAATGAAGAATTAACACACCATTATTACAGTAGCCAAATGTGCGCCAATAAGTGCATAGCACCCTCCACTAGCTCCAGCCAGTAAGACATAAGGATCACTAACAGAATGAGCTAAAGAACCTATTAGCAGAAACAAAACAAAGAAAGAGAGCAATGATTACTTACTAAATAAAACTCTGAATTATGGAAAAGCATTATCTTATGTGGTAAACAAAGCTGCAAAATATACCATGCCTTTATTCAACACAATGCGAAGTTTCACTCATCCCCTTAGAATCATTAAATGGGATACAATAACATTAACTGGTCATTACTTCACTGAATTCTAACTTTCCATGCTTGGTAACTATAGTTAAATCTCACAAGAAACCCATTTACTTTCTAAAAATTCATTTTTATGATACAAAGTATAAAAGCGGTGCACAGAGGTAGCTAACATATGCAGAATACAAAATTACATTAGAAAACACAACATTTTAAAAATATTCGCTATTTACGAAGATTGTGCAAAGAAATTAAAATACAATATTTGGCTGCTTCATTTGTAATTCATATCTACAGAATTATATTATAATAAGGTAAATACAACCTGTATTATTAAATAATCAAATTCAGTAGCCAAATGTGGGTTCGTATACTATAGCTAACACCTGTTACGTGTGCATTGAACAATACTATTTGGCTAACTAATCTTTGGTGGATAGAAAAAGGACTTGGCAACTATGACTTAGTGGTCAAAAATCAAGTGTCTACATTTATGAACTACAGTCGTACTTTTAAATAAAACTTGTCAAGCAACGTAGAAACTTCAAACTAATCAAAGGAGAAACAGCAAAGCAACAATGGCACATGTATCTTAAGTGTCACTACATAGTCAACATTCCAAACGAGTAATGTCACTTCTACGTTGTCATTACTGCAAAATAATTTATCAGGATTCGCCGAATAACCACACTGATTTGAGATAGCAATGGGATTAGATATTTGGACTCTTTCAATTACACTGTTTATTTGAGAGAAATAGTTTATGGTCTTTCATTATATTACAAGAATAAACACAGAAATTAAACGGTGTAACAACGAGACGTAATGAACTGAAATTTATAGCTTAAATATGCTTAACAGATGAAATGTAATCACCCATGATCAATTTGTCTGGATATCTAAGTTGAAAGTACAGGATCATAGATCCAAAATTCATCTCATCCACTTCTGTGAGTAACCACTTAGTATTGTTAGCCAGTACAAAATATATGTGCATATTACTGTCTAAGAACCACAGGTAACTTGATAGTGCAAATAAATAAACAAACACAGAAATGCAATAATTTCCTCCCCTTGCCCTTAAACTTTTAGTCGTGCTTAATATGAAAACAGTGAGTGAAAATATAATTTAGTATTATGCTTCGGAGTGCTGTATTTGGAGTGTACCTATAAGAAAAATTATTTGTGCTTCCATTGACCATTGACACGTCTCATTTCGATGAGGGCATAGTAACTATTCAGATAAACAAATTACCTGCAATGACACCTAGCAGATACACCAAACCAACCCGCCAAAATTTATGCACCAACTCGAGTAAAAGGCCAAGGACAACTTGTAACAAGCAATTGAAGATTAGATGCATATAACCACTATGAATGAACATATAGGTTAAGAAGCGCCAGGCCTCATGGCGTTTGACTGGATTATAAATAAGTATGCTGTTAAACGGGACACCAGATGATGCCGTTACATCATTCGATGGGTCGGAGTCGGTATAGTGAATTATAGCATAGTACATGAAAACCGCAATCTGTAAAAATAAACACCAAATACAATAATACCCATTAGGAAGTCAAACACGAGTCGCTAATTTGCAGCAAAATATAAATAAATAAATAAGCAATCATTTTCATAAATGATTTAAAACTGTGATTAAATTTGCCAAGTATGAATAATAGATATTGTATTTTTAATACATATCCGTGTGTCAGTAAAACTTAAGGTCACTAACACAACAATAAGAGAATACCGTTGTGAATTGATTAAAAATTACTATAAGAATATGAAATGCAAACTTAGAGTGTCAAATTGTTGTTTTTACTTAGTAGATATTTCCAGAAGTGCAATAAACTGTAAAACGTCCGTATGTTGTTGAATTTTATTCAAAAATTAACGACGAAGTCTTAGTATCAATTAGATCAACGAAAACCTAAGTGGTGCAAGACCATTGTATAACAAGTTTTGAAACATGTAGAAGTCAGGCCTTTATTTTCAACATTTAAAAAATTGCCCTCCTTTAATAAAAAGACCTCTTGCGACTTCACTGTACTATTATTCGTTCACTGTCCTGATAAAAAAACAATTATGGACTATAAGAGCATTCAAATCAAACAGGAATCTAAGGCGAACATTCATAAGCTAAATTTGCTACAACTATCAAATGCACGCGAAAATCCATAATGTAATGGGTGGAGAGGAGCAAATTTTCACTGATAATTCCGAGAGATACAGTAACCGTAACTGCATTACTACTGATAGTAACGAACTACACCTTTCGCTCTCCATCCTTCCTCCTCTTCTCGATTACCCTGAAGCCATTTGAAACACAAGGAATTAAAGCGTATATATTGGCACAGTAGGAAATAACTACGTAATTTTATAAGGCCTCCTAAATTCAGGTTGTGCAACTAGTCGATCAAAAAAGTCATTTCTTATTTTCGCACTATTCAGTTAATGTATATATAACCTATAACAGATAAGTCAAAAGCATCCGTGAGTAAATGACTGAAATTCTATGTCATTCTATTCCTCACACCAGCATATTTTTGTATGCACAGTGTACTGAGCTATGAAGTGCACCTATTACATGTGAACTAAAAGTAATGACTTTCTAAAACTCTGTATGCACAGTGTGAAGTGATAGATTTATCAATCAGAAGCTGTGTCTTGGTTTGGCATTCAGGAACAAAGTGGAAAGTAGATATCCAAACGACAACTTTGTTGGAGAAATGGATATGCCTAAGTTAAAAATTTTCACGCATTAACAAACAACCACACAATAGGGTGGGATAGGGTTAAAATTCTAAAAAGTAATATAGGTAGGTGGAAAGAGAGGTTGATTACGGAATCCTTATTCATCGAGTCTACACCCAACACATGCAACAGAAGTGACTCAATGCAAATACCAGAAATATGGAAGATATTATTAACGCCGGTCAAATCAGAAGAGGATGATAAATAATCTTAAAATTCTATTTCCATTCAAGCACATCATAACATTCTAACAATTAACTTATTATGACTGTAAAAAACACTCGTTGTATTTCCCATCTAATTGCAATGGATTAATAACACTCGTACTATTATTTCTGAATGTACATTATCTCGTATTGAATTTTATTCCAATATCGAATCGATTCCACACATGTATATAAATGAAGGAAAGAAGTTGTGTGAGTAGCTTGATATGATTATGAGCAATAGTTTGTGCTCGAAACGTCATCAGTTAATATAACTGTACAACACTGTGTGATTTATCAAAATAAAATCTTAACCATTATGGAGTTAAACCTTGAGTATAGTTAGAACCAAATACCCACATTAAATATAGACCTTGAATGACTGCTATACGGAATACAAACGGAGTTAAAGTTATGCAACAGTAAGTTGTGAAGCTGACAGGGCAATAAAAAATAAATTACCTCTGCAATAGTTATCAGTGGAATGAATATAGGAGGCGGTCGACAATCATACGCCTCTACATAGTTATCAACATCCGCTTCACCCCAGTTGTAGCCATCAATATCATCGTACCCAGAATCCAGAGCAACAGCTCGTTGGTGATTTCGGCCACAATCCGGTGCCACTGCTAGTACTGCACGATTAAGGATACGTTTATCAATACGCAGTCGTGTAAGAACCTTGTCGTCCTCAGAAATAACCTAGAAGACGTTAAAAGGAAGCTTATGAAGTGTGATATCAAAGTTTTTTGAAACAATACCAAAATATTTCGAAAGACATGACCTAAACAACCAGTGTTAAATAATAGTTAGTTATTTAAACTATTAAAGCAAGAGCATCCAAGCGCAGTAGTACAGCTCACTAGATCATATGCCATAACATCTAGCCCACAACAAATGCATAGCAGTTGCAGCAGAAATTAACTTCCTTGTTATAAAATCAATGAAATTAAGTATAGCACACATATTCTCACACAACACATCGAAGCTGATAGGATTCCGTGCATAAACAAATATCACGAAATATTACTTCGCCAACTCAGCCAAAATTACAAAATATCGTCACATCCACCAATGTTCATTACAAAAAGGCTTTGAAAACGCTTGGCGGTTTACAGTTCCTAAAATAAAACTTCTTTGTTCACATTAAATTTCACGATTTCCCAAAACGTAAGAAATTCAAATCCCTATTACATCTAAAGCGAGCACACAAGTAAACGTTTGTGACTTATAGTTCTTATTTAAATTCGTGGAGTTGAATTTCTACTAATAGACAAGAGCTTTATCCTACTTTTTATTCAATTTTCTCTAGAACAAGCACTCATTGTTCCAGCATAGTTCTTCACCAGGCTCCACATAGACCATTTCCGTGACTTTACTATTTATCCACTTACGCATAAATCTAGTGACCAGTGCTCACAAACTAAATAGTTACAACACCCATTAATGAATTCTTGTATCTCTCTCCAATGCTTTTTCATAAAAATTTATATTAGCTTACTGAGTTCCTTCAGAAACAATTTTTTATAAGTTATGTAAACTAAAGGTGCGATAACCTACTACACTATCTTGGTTTGATTACGGCTAGTCCACTTCTAATACTCCGTTGGACAGTAAAGCATTACAATATTTCTTAGCTTGCTAGTATGCACAAGAACATAATCATCGGAGTGTGTTTCTTGAAATACTAAACAGCTTTAACATTTTTAAATAAACAGTCAAAATTTCATCGCATAGCGCCACCATGGTGCGATTCTTTTAAATTAAAACATATTAATCCGCCAACGCCCATTAGCCATGAGACTGATATTACTATACTACTACTCCTTAAATATACTCACAGAAATAAGAATTATATGTGGTTGATTAAATTCACAAAAGGGGGAACACGTGAAAACCCAATCAAATATAACACTCAGTACAGAGTAGTGATAGAACCAATATCCATTTAAATATTTGAAGACTTCTCCACATATATTGAAAGTAATGGATGTAGTACTAAGTAATTCATAAAATCAATTTCAACCGATTGGAAATACCGATTGGAATTTTTCAAAAGAATGGTTACTGAACAACGAATATTTTTTCGATAACTTCATCATCAGGTTCTACAGCTACATATACATAATAGTGAATGAATTCTTGAAAACCTATTTAGTCAAGCAAGAGATCTAGTCCCATCATCCACCATGGAACCAGAACGCTTCAAATCAAGTCTAGTGGATTGTTGTTATAAGTACAAAAACATCAAATACGACAGCAAAAGTTTCTTGACAAAGGAGCACAGAGAAGAACTAAACAAAGTGATACATGAAGAAAGACTGATAATCGCAAAGCCTGATAAAGGATCAGAAGTAGTCTTCCTTAACAGAAGTGACCATATTACAGAGATGAATAATATATTGAAAGACACACAGAAGTTTCAAAAACTGAGAAGAAAGATTTCAGTAGCGAAATAGAGAACGAATAAACCAGATGCTTGAAGAAACTAAAGGAAGAACAGATATTTCCTAAAGTTTTATATGAAGAAATCAAGCCAATAGGCACGTACACGCCAAGATAGTATGGCCTACCTAAAGTGCATAAACCGGGAGTGCCGTAAACACCAACACTTGATATGCGAAATTTGCCCTACCTTGATCTAACTAGATGGTTAGTGAATATTCTCAAACCTTTGCATGAGCGCCAAAGATGTATTTGAATTCGTAGACAAAATCAGAGATTTCAAATCTTTAAATATCCCCATTTATAATATTAGAACAAGACATATAAGCGAACAATATTGTTTTCAATTAGATCTTCTTCAGGCTTTACTCTAATTTACATAGATTTATATATAAAATTTTAACCAATGACGGTGATTTTGGGAATCAAATAATAATCTTAATAGTCTTAATAATAATAATAATGTGGTAAATGTTTTGAACGTAGTTAATAACGATGATTATAATGATGACAAAATATTGATAATAAGGTTTATGCAGGTGATAAGAATAACAAAGATAGTATATTTTCTATAATTTGGTTTGTAAGGATCAACTCGTAAAACATAACTAATCCTTACAAACCAAATTATAGAAAATTATTCTGATGCTCGCTAGTGACTTGCTACAGATTGGAGCTTCCTGTAGTTCTATGGAGAAGTCGTGACCAGTGAGGTGCAATTAGAAGTCACGTGTGTGGATGGATGTCCCACCAACGACAATAGTTGGGGTCGCGCTAAAATCACGAATTGGTAGAAGTTAGAATTCATCAGCCATTGAATCGGGTCCCAGTGGCTGAATGGTATACGAGCTTGCCTTGTAACCGGAAGGTCCTGGGTTCGAATCCCAGTGGGTGCGTACTTCCGATGATTCCCAAACTAGGTGAAACAGCAGCTGTCCAGTACTCCCTGGTTTTCAATGGTTCTCTAACTGATATCAGTCCGTGATCAACTCGTAAAAGATAGTATATGTATACAAGTGTATAAATAAATTGGGTCAAATCTTAAAAGGTGAAGTGGAACGATAATCAGAGTTTAAATAAATATTATAAAAGTACAAAGGAGGTGGAAAATAAGAGAGGGTGGGAGGGTTTTGAATACAGTTCACCTAGGCCAAGGGAGAGACAAAGGTAGAACAAACTTCTTTTGTATGCAAAGACTAGGATTGTTCTCTCGAATTCCCATAGCTTCGGCTAGGTGTAAAAGACGGTTTCTGATTCCATTCGAAAGACTCGATGGAATACGATAGATAACTTTGAAAGCACTATTTTTGTCCACTTGGTGACCGCTATCAATCAAATGAGCCAAAATAGAACTTCGTATGGATTTTATTTAACCTTTTCCGAACCATGAAGGAAGATGCTCATTAATGCGTTTGTTCAGCTGTCTAGTTGTTCGCCCTATATAGCTTTCGCCACAGGAGCAACTAAATTTATAGATACACATCGAAGTGGCACAACTAGGTAGCTTATCTTTCACTTGAGCAATCAAAATTGGTCGGCTGGAAAATGACAAACAAAGGGTGGCGGCAGTATAAGTCCGTTTTATCGCTCTCGATAATCTCAGATGTAAGACTTCACTAGCCACGTCCCCATTAAATTGAAGTTTCATGAACAGTTCTTTCTTTTTTACTGTTGTCAGTTTTTCTTTGTTGTACCTGGTATTCATGTGTCTCCTAACAAATCCACTAGGATAACCCATTTGGACCAGCGTATTTTGGATATATCCTAGCTCATTTTCTAGGGAGTCATCTGTACAAATACGTCTTGCTCTATTCGTAAGGCATCTGACCAAATTGATTTTATATCGGATTGGTACAAAACTGAGGAAATGTGTATATTGTCCTACAGATGTAGGTTTTCTATAGGCATCTCTCTTGAGTGAACCATCCTCTCTTCTGCTCAATTGGACGTCAAGGAAATGTAATCCACCATCATGTTCTTCTTCACAAGTGAAGATGAGCGATGGATGTGCATCGTTAAACTTTTTTAACATTTCATTCTTGTCAGTTTTCACATCAAGAATAATGAACGTATCATCAACATAACGAAAATAAGAATCAGTTGTCTCTATTACTTGTCTCAATGAACCATTTTCAATCTTGGCTAGAAAGAAATCTTCCAAAATTGGCCCCAATGGAGAACCCATGGCAATACCGTCGATTTGCCTGTAGTAAAGGTTGTTAAATAAGAAATGTACATTCATAGTACATCTTAAAAGCAACTCTTTCAGACTAATAACTGGAATTCCGATGTCAATCTGCTTTTCTAGTATCTGTTGGCATATGATTTAAGATTTGACCCAATTTATTTATACACTTATATACATATACTATCTTTGTTATTCTTATCACCTGCATAAGCCTTATTATCAATATTTTGTCATCATTATAATCATCGTTATTAACTACGTTCAAAACATTTACCACATTATTATTATTATTAAGACTATTAAGATTATTATTTGATTCCCAAAATCACCGTCATTGGTTAAAATTTTATATATAAATCTATGTAAATTAGAGTAAAGCCTGAAGAAGATCTAATTGAAAACAATGTTGTTCGCTTATATGTCTTGTTCTAAAATCAGAGATATTAATATCAAGGATAAAACTATGATATCTTTGGACATAACATCTTTATTCACAAATGTAACTCTAGTAGAAACGGTTAACTATATATGTGAACAAGTGTATAACCGGTCGATAAATATTGTCATCCCAACGGAAATCCTAATAGCATTGTTATTATGTTGCACCATGAATGTAAATTTCAAATTTGATGGCACACTTTACAGACATGTGGAAGGGGTGGCGATGGGTTACCCATTGGGTCCCATTTCTGCAGATTTCTTTCTAAGTAAACTAGGAAATGGACCTTTGAACAACCTTATCAGAAAATTCCCATTTTATTGCCAGTATATGTATGACATCTTTATTCTTTGTGATAATGACTCAGGTAGGAACACAATAATAACTCAATTCAATAAAGTACATTCTGCTGTGAAATTCAAGTGCGAAGAGGAATCCCAAAATAGAATTACCTTCCAAGATGTACTTCTTACAAGAAAACCAGATGGCAATTTAAACAGAAATTTGCATAGGAAAGGCACATGGACACGACAATATACACATTTTCATAGCCTTCTTCCTCTCCAGTACAAAAGAAATTTAGTAAGGACCCTTAGCCACAGGGTTAGAGTTATATGCTCAGAGGAGGTAATTGAAGATGAATTAAGGATTCTATAAAACTCTAATTGAAAATAGCTATCCAGACAAATTCATCAGGAAGTATATGACTAAGAAAGTTGAAAAGGGGTATTCGCTATCCGTAAACAAGAAGCCTTTACACATACGAGTGCAATTCAAGGGAGATATAACGAGCGAAATAATTACGAAGTTAAGAAAATCATTTCAGATAACTTTTAATGCTGGCAAACTACAAGTCCTATTTTTCTACACGACCGATGGTGAATCCTCAATTGAAAGATGAAGTACCTAGAATAGTTACCTCTTCTTGTATCTGTCAATTCAACTGCACTTGTGGAGCAAGTTATATTAGCCATCGCTCTAGGAACTTGATTTTTCGTGCTCGGGAACATCTACCAGTGTAAAAGCCACCAACAGTTCTATATTAGACCACTTGGTCCAAACCGGCCACAAAGCCAACATTGTCGAATCTTTCTGTATCATCTACCAAAACATCCAGGTACTACATAATCCAAACAGCAGAGGGCACTGCGATTCGCCTTAAACAACCGGCGTTTTGTGTGCAGAAGAAGCAAGTCCAGCCACTACTACTGCCCTGGCCTTCAGTGAAGACTACAAATTCATGAATCTGCATTACTATTTTTCCTAATTTTCCTGATATTCAGTGTATTGTTATGTTGATGCTACAGAACTGTAATCTATTGACATTATTGTTGATTCTGTTATTAAAACATTATTGTTGTTAATAACGCTAACTCATTCACTATTGTGTATATAAAACTGTAGAACCTGATAATGAAATTATCAAAAAGAATATTATTTGTTTGGTAACCATTCTTTCGGAAAACCAATTTCAACAACCAAAAGCAGCCCCGTTACTGAAATTATGATAAGTTAAGTAACTGTTCGCTGGCTTGCCCATTTAATCTAAGGAGATAGCACTATCATCTCGCCCTGATAAAAGTATATAGTAAACACTGCATTCTGGAACTACTGGCATTAAATTATGCACAAGGATTGGTTAGCAACACTACAACTAACCTGCAATTAGTACTTAATTATGAAATGTGTCAAGTGTTAAGGAGTACATGGCCATCTCAAGCGTATTAACACTTTATATCAAAGTGTTGGAAAAATGGCTAATAAAAAAAGAAATCTAATAGACGGTAAGTAAAGACGGCTATAATTCATAGCATACTTATACTAAGGTCCCAAGCTTACAACAATTCTAAACTTATTCTAACCTATGCGTTGATAATGCCTTTTTATGGTAAATGAAAATTTTTTTCTACCCACTATGTTCTTAAATAACGCTGGTCGTGCTTAAAAAGAGAGCTGGGTGCTGAATTAATGCGACAAAATCTGAAAAGGCTAGAATTAAGCTGAAAAAATTGCCACTATGTGCTGAATTAGGTCTTTTCGTTCTGAAGTAATGCTAGTCAGTTCTGAATATGTGCTGAGAAGGCTAGAATTAAGCTGAAAAAATTGCCACTATGTGCTGAATTAGGTCTTTTCGTTCTGAAGTAATGCTAGTCAGAGCTTAATATGTCCTGTAATGGCTGGAACAACGCTGATAAGGAAACCCAGTATGTTCTGATCTACTCGTGAAAATGCCTAGAAAAAGAACATGGTGCTGAATTAGTTCTAGTCATGCTGAAAACCAGCACTGAGTTCTAGTCTGTGCCATTAAACAAACCATTTCAGAACAGATTCAGAATTTACTCACTATAGGATGCAAGAATTATTTCAGAATTACTGAGATTTAATTCAGCATTATTGTAAGCTTGGGGTATTGTCCTTTTCCATCCGGGTGTTGAAAATTTGAAATCGAGAATATCAATTCTTAAATAGTGAAAAGTACTTTTATTACTGAGTAAAAATTGGAGCCTAACATGAATAGTGCATAATGATTTAAAAATTAATACTTCTAATCAAACATACCTGCTGCACAAATTCATCATAAGTGATTCGCTGATCTCTGTCGGCATCTGCTGAGTCCACGATATCACTCAGTTTCGATTTTGGCAAGTCAGATTTCCCAAGAAGACTCTTTAGTTCACATAATGGGATACCACCTGCTGCATCGTACTAAGGAATTTATACGGCTGTCTAATATACATTACCTGATCAAAAGTAGGTTTGAATTGCTATGGAAAATAAATGTGATGAATAACAACATACTTTATCTAAATATCTACGAAGATCTGAAGAACGCCTAGTAGACATCTCCGCAAGACGACTAAACCTTGAGATTTGTATCCCCACAACTGAGCGTCCAGGGTCATATCCAATATCCAATGTCCTGATTACTAGCTAGTATAAACCAGTGATTTCTTTGAGCTCGCTTCTTGATTGTAAGGTAGAGGTTCCAGATCTTCGGTGAACTTATGCGGAGTAAATCCCGCCACTCAACTACTTTATCTCTGGTAGACTCCAAGAGGAGTGGCGCGGGGATTGGTCGAAATTTAGTTGGTGGTGTGCAGTATGTTAGGACTGAGTTGCTGCCGTGAATGGAATTTGACCCGTTGGTCATTCGGTGTAGTCATAAAAGTAGAACAATAATAATAATAGGTTGTAGTGTAGATAATATAGGTTGAGATAAGTGAAGTAATAAAGGTGAAATAATAAAGGTGACCAAAGAAAAGATAGAGTAGTCGGTACAGTGAGAGAAGACAGGACGGGTCGTGGGGATTTAGCTTGTATGCTTATCTATTGACAGTGTGGTTTCAAATTTTAAGAGGATAAGCCATTGAGACACAAACCATGCATTTCTGCATGATTGTCCAGCTTCCGCTTAAAAGTCTCCACAGATGGCGCTGTAGTCACGGCCGCCGGTAAAGCGTTCCAGAGACGGCAAACTCGAAGAGAGAAGAAATGTGAACGCACTCGAGTCTTTGGTCTCTGGTGTGCTATCCTTAGCGGGTTACCTAGGGAAGCCTATAATCACTTAATGGCAGGATGCTTTTATTAGGGTGGGCCTGGTCATTTAAGATCTTATAGACAGTGGTGAGGTCTCCCCTGTGACTATGGTAGCTAAGTGTGAAAAGACTTAATTTCTTCAGTCTTTCCTCATATGATTTGTTGCGGAGGCCGATCACCCATTTTGTCGCTCGTCTCTGGATACTTTCTAGAATGTTAGCATCCCTTTTGAGTAGCGGAGGAGCGATGATATTATGCACCTCAAGGAGTGGCCTCACGTATGTCGTATACAACCTTAAGAATAGTTCGCGAGTAAGAGCTCCCAGCTGCCTATGCATAAAGTGTAAAGTAGCGTAAGCTTTAGCGACGTCCCTCGTGTAATTTACACTGGTGTCTAGCTTTTCTGTTAAAATAAGACCTAGGTCGCGTTCTGATGGTACAAAACTCAAGTTCTGGCCACCAAGAGTGTAATTTACACTCTGTGACCTGCCGGAATGAAGTTGCACTACTTTTCACTTCTTTAGGTTGAAAGGCATTCCGTTAGCCAGAGCCCAGTCTCCCAGAGTTTGCAGGTCAGCCTGCAATCTGTCGCAGTCTTCCGATGAGTTTATTGCTCTCCAAATCTTTACGTCGTCAGCGTAAAGAAGCGCAGAGCAGTTCAGTTGACAGGGCAGGTCGTTGATTAAAATCAAAAACACCAACGGCCCTAAGACTGAACCCTGAGGAACCCCTGATGCCGAGGTTTGCCAGGATGATCGGATGCGGTTGACTTTGGTGCAGAATTCTCTCTCGCCTAAGTAATCTTTCAGCCATGAGAGAAGTGCCCCAGAAACACCCGCCTTGCTTATTTTGTGAAGGAGCAGGCCATGGTGAACTGTCTCGAATGCTTTCGCGAAGTCGAGAAAGATCGCATGGACTGGTGCCTTTACATTTCAGGATAGTGTCCAATCGTTCCAAGCTAGTAGAAGATTCCTCACACAGGATCTTCCCCTCCTGAAACCGTGCTGTGCTTCATAGAGTAGGTTAGTCCCGTCGAAGTATTTTCTCATGTGGTCGTCAATGAGACTTTCCAATATCTTCGATAGCACTGGGAGTAGCGCAACTGGTCTGTAAGTGGTCGCATTCTGCCGGTCACCACCCTTGAAGATAGGGAATAGGATGGCTCGTTTCCATTCACATAGAGGTTTCCGCACATCAAAGGAGTGTTGAAGCAGATCGCTTAGGGGTTGGCAGAGACTTTCTGAACACTGCTTCAGGACGGATGGTCTTATGTCATCGCAACCTGCAGACTTTCCCGAAGCCAAATATCCCAATTTTACGAGTACCATAGCCGGGGTAATTTGAAATGTACCCAGCAGGTTTTCGCACGTTGGTCTTGCATTGTAATCTTGATGTTTTGTGGGGGTAAAATCCTCGCTACTGTTCAGTTGCCTGTGAAAGGCTAGACTGAACGTCTCTGCCATTTCAAGACTAGTAAGAGATTTCCCATCAGAACCCACTAGATTGCAAGCTCCCTGGTTGGTCGGTTTTCCTTCAGACATAAACCTGTATAGGCTTGTGGGGTTCACGAGAAGCTTATTGGCGAGGTTCCTCTGAAATGTCCTATCACTCCAGACTCCTATGTTACATCGATTCCTGAGTTCAAGGTACACTTCATGTTCGGGTTGACTCTTCGATACTCGCCACGCAAACCAGGCTTCTCGCTTTACCAGCAGAAGGCGTTGTGTCCCCCTTTTTGCCATGAACGTTGCTTTCTAGCTTTTGGTGTGACTAAAGGAACAGTGTCTGAGACCGCCTGGTGAATGATCTCCTTTACCACTCCCCAGTGTTCTTCTACTGTAAGCTCTGTCCAATTTTTTGGCCAATTTGCTTCAGACAAAAGTCTTCGCATTTCGGTGTAATTGGCTTTGTTACAACACAGATAGGGCTGTGTATTGTCCCACTGTAAACGCTCGCGGAGGACTATGTCGAATGTTATGACCGCGTGGTCACTACTACCTATGGGAGTCGTGATCTTAACGTTTTCCACTAGTAGCTGGTCACTAGTGAGCACATAATCCAGTCTAGAAGAATTCCCACCTGGGCCACATCTAGTATCCATTCTGACATTTACAGTGAATCCATCCTCCCTGATGGTATGCAGCAGATTTCGATCAAATCTATCGTGGGCATATCCCGTCATCAAGTAAAAAGATGGGGCATTGAAGTCTCCAGCTATGACAATTTGATCATAACCCATGTCTTGTGTCACTGAAATTGCATTCAGCAGTACCTGGTTGTGGTCTGTTCCACATGAAGGTGATCGACAAATGCTGCCCACTAGATGTTTACAGTATCCAACGGTGAAATAACACCATATGGAGTCAGGGAGCTCAGTGAGGGGAGGGTCGATTGCGTGAACACATCTGAGCTGTTTGTCGACGTATAAGGCGACTCCACCTCCTTCTTTCAGGTCCCTATCTCGCCTGACTAGGACCATATCATTTATACTGGCTTCGCTGTCTGCCACCATAGGGGTTAGCCAGGTTTCCGTCAGTATTATGATTTTGGAGTTCAGCTGTGATTGTAGGTGTCTAAATTCAGCTATTTTGCCTCTTAGCCCTCTCACATTACTGTACAGGCAACTGGTAGTCAGTCTCACCACGTCCCCGTATTGGGCGGGGTGGTTGACGTGATGTGGGCTGTCGGTTGAGGAGTTATCCTACGAGCAAGTTAGCCGATTTCCCGGGAACCGGCCTGTTGGCGTTTTTTCTTCTGGTTCAATCGGAGCTCTTGGATGACACTGGCTGTCTTCGTCCGTAATAAAAAACGCTCAAAGGAACCTAATTACCAAGGCGGGAAGACAAATGAAACAATGGGCTGATCACTTTCAAGGACTCTTGAATCGACCATCACCTACAACTCGCCCAAAAATGCCACTGCCACCAAAAGCAGGCAGAGAAATGGCTACCAGTGGACACCACTCCTCCAAGTAAAGCGGAAATCCTGAATGCAATCAAGCTATTGAACACCGGCCTGGAAGGTGACAGGACCAGACGGCATTCCCCCACCCCGAAGCACTGAAAACGGACCCAGAGACTGCGGCAGATGTGCTCACACCATTACTGCAAAAGGTTTGGAAAGAAGGGAAAATGCCTACAGATTGGGAGAAGGGCCACCTCGTCAAACTGCCAAAGAAGGGCGACTTAGGCCTGTGCAAGAACTGGCGTGAAATAATGCTCTTGTCCACGCTAAGTGAAACATTAAGTTACATCGTCCTGGCGATACCAAGAGATGCATTACCTGCAGGACTGCGGCAAGCTGCAGTGGTTTGAGAAAACACGGATGAGGATTTTGTAGGCAGCTGGGATCCAATGTGAAGATGGACGGTCGTCACTCCGTGATCATTTTGAAAATCTCTTGCAATCGACTTAGAGAAATAGCCTCGAATTTTCGAGATAACTGTTAGGTTAATTCGTCTATATGTGTCTGAATCTTGAGTAGCGACGGGAAGAATTTCCAGACTTACCTATGCTGGCTTCAAAGTGAATATGAGATGGGCAGAAACTCTGAGGAGAAACCAGTCAATAATTTGTTGCTCAGGACATATTCTGAAGAGAATGAAGATGGATTGTAAACACTCTGAAGAGACCCTTTGGTGGCGGTGCGCTCCATGCCCTTGTGTGGAACACGAAGGATAGAAGACGAACTGAGCATACGAAGGAAACACACAAGAAATCATGTGAATCTGAGGAAAACGCTTACAGGAAATCTTGGGGCCACCTGAATAGGACTGCAGATAATGTGACAAAATGCAGATGTGCTGCTGAAGGCCTATGTTATGCTCGGAACCCGGGGGGGCAAACTTCTTCATAGTCATTTACCCCTAGAAATAAGGACCTGTCACTCTATTATAACCTTCAAACGCTTGCTATATAAACTGCTTCATTCCAATGACTATGCCAATCACACCGCACCACTTATTTCCAAAACGCATGAGCTATTAGCACACTATAACGCCTAGACTCATTACTAAATATTACGACACTAAATAAACTCTAAGACTTCGCAAAATTACATGAAAAACAACTAGATTATGGGTAGTGTTTACTATACAATGATATACATTTATAAACATTTATATGTACATAAAATAATAAAGTTCTTTTCATATTTACATACTTTATCTCCCTGCTGAGCGTAATCTTCTATATACCTCCTGGTTGAGGTCGAACAACCCAACATCCAAACTGAAATGACCATTTATGTAAATTTAAACTCAAATTCCATGAACGATCCGATGCAACCACTTGAAAACGCTGGCTAAC